TCCCCCCTCTACCTGCCGCGGGCCGGGGAGGCGGCAGCTGAGTCTATATAGCTGGTGGGTTATAATGGGGCTGTCCCCCGGGGGGGAGGACCATAAAAGAAACACGTTTCATTTACAAGTTTCCCCCAGCTGGCCCCCGACTTTCATCCTTATTCCCTTTCTGGAGAGGGGATGGGGGGAGATGGCTCCCCCCCGGCCACCCCCCTCCCTTTTCATGTATCTACCCCAGGCCAAAATCTTCGCTTTCACTTCGAAATCCTCGAGCTTTCCCAGTTTAAAGGCAAGAGTCATGGGGGAGGGGGGGGTAGGAGACAAAAGCTCTACCCTCACGGTTTTCCATTTTTTGGGGGGCCATGGCATCCCTGATTATCCCGTCCTCTCTATCATCCCCAGGGGAAAAAAATACTATTTGCTTCAGAAATATATTTTCAAATAACACACCCCCACACCCCCCCCGAAGCCCACCACCCTCTCCCCCCGAATTAAATAAACAGCATCTGGAAGCTAATATATCACCAAATGCCCCTCTCTTTCTATTTTTTTTCTTCCCTATTGTTTAGGGCTAGGGCTATAAATAACGTTTCGGTTGGGTTTTATGGACGAGACACGTTTCTAAGGTGTTCCCCCCGTTACACGGCCGGAGCGGGGTGCGGAGCCGGGGGTGCAGCGGGACCGCCCCCCCCGCCAAGCCCCTATTAACCGCCTATTACTGGGGGTGGGGGCAGGGAAGGTGCAGATTTAAATGGTCTCTTCTCTCCCCCCCCCCCCCCGCACCCACCATCCCCCCCCCCCCCCCCCCGCTTCAAACGCAGACAATTTTGATGAGTGGGTTTTTGTCCGGATGGTTTGTAATGGTGCCTGTTTTGGGGTGTCCCGGGGGGTCCGGGAAGCTTTAATTCGCTCACAAAGGCTCATTTGCAGGTCAATGCCATGGCACACTCGCCTCTCCCCTTTGCCTAAATCTCCTTTTGTTCCCAATCGCCTGCTCCTCATGCCAGATGGCCGCGGAAAATGCTAATTTTCTCTCTCTCCCCCCCCTTTTTTTTCTTTTTTTTTTTTTTTTTTTTTTTTTTTTTTTTTTGCATTTAATTGCGGCCCTTTGCAGATGGGGGCTGTGGAGTGTGTGCTTCATTCAAATGAGGTTTGCTTTTTGGTTTCCAGGCACGTTTCTAAAAGTCCGATCTGAGTCAGGCAGGGATTAGTTTGACAGGGAAGTGATCAGATTAAAATCCTTGCATGAGCTCGGCCTCCTCGCTCCCTCCCTTTAAAGCTCTCCTCCTTCCTCGCCTTACCCGCCGCTCTCCTCCCAGGAAAAAGGCAAATCTTTCTCTTTCCTGAGCTGGTGCAAGTGATTTGGGGTGGGAGGCAGGGTGGATTTTGCCTGAATCTGGGGAGGATTTCAGGGAAAATTCATCTTCTTGGGGAAATGGGAAAATAAGCTTCCATTAGCTAGCATCTTGCCATCACTAAGGTCATAAAGCTGGATTTGGTATGAAATTAAGTATTTTATCTCTTTTAAAAACTTCCGTTCAGAAAGGCAAGTGTTGGTGTTGATGGGAAGAAGGGAACAGGTGCCACCCTAGATCTGAGTGGGGATGGTGACCAGGGCAGCCACGGGCAGCTGCCAGTAGTACCCCGGCACGCAAACCTCCCCGGTGGGGGCCCGACAACCTCCATACACGTGGAGCAGAGAAGAGAGCCACCAAAATGGGTTGGGAAAAGATGCTGACAGAGCTGTGCTCTCCCGCTTAGGGGTCTCCAGGATCTTTCTCAGCTTTAGTAGAATAACCTTGTCCTCAAATTGGGTCTGTGGCCTTTGAAATGCCTTAGAAGCAGTTGCACCAGAATGCTTGCTCTCACCACGGAAAAAAAATGCAAGAAGAGCAGAAGGGGATTTTTTTTCCCCTTCTAAATGAAACCTAGATAGTACTTGCAGGATTGCACAGGATGAAACCCAAGACTCCTTCCTGTCCCCTTTTTATCAGGGCATAAATTAACTCTGCCTGTTGGGAATGGGCTGCTGCAGCTCAGCTGTGCAGAACTAACCCAGGACAGGGCCATGGGCTTGGGCTGCCCCTTCTTGTGGGTATTTAAGCCCCTTACTCAAGGCTTTATAACTTAGGAGTAAGGGAATGGGGCTGTGCTCCTCTTCTTCAGCAGCAGGATGGTTTTTCCCTTGGGGCAGGAGATGTGGGTTTGGCTCCTGGATATTCAGCTAAGAGAGTCATCCAAGGCAGGTCAGCCAGGTAAGCATCCTATTTGCTGGTCTGTTAACTACAACAAGCAGAGCTCCTGGTTCCTTTCCCCTCAGCCATATTTTAAGCCACTTCTGTGTTTTGTGTGTCACTGGATTTGGAAGTGGACTTTGCAGCATAATCCCTCAGCAGTAGGAAAGGCTCAGGGATCTGTCCCAGCTGCCGATGAGACTGAACATGGGTTAGGCACCACCAGCTCCTTCAGCTGGACCAAGGCTGGGGACCAGGGGACACACACTGGCGGAGCTGTAGGATGGCACCTTCACAGAGCAGTAGCAGCTTGGCAGGGGAGAGTTGCAATCTGGGCTCTCTGAGGTACATGGGCCTCTTAAAAAAGCTAAAAGTCTGTTCCTGTGATGGAGGGGAAGTGGAAAAAATATATCAATGTCAGAAAGCCATTTAGCAGTGTAGAGAGACAAACTTATCAAACAGCTTATCACTTTCTGTTCAGTCACAAATCTACATTCTATTTTTCCTGTATGGTTTGTTTTCCTAGAGCAAGATGCTGATGTTTTCTTGCTGACTTGGGAGCATATTAGCCAACAGCTGTGCCTGACTTTTCCTTAGCTTTCTGGCTTAATTAAAGCCAGCCTGCAACGCTGACCCAGGTGTTGTGCATGCTGGCAAGCTGCTGGCACAGACACCTGGATCCACTTTGCCAGGCTGGGTGCGTTGCTCTGGAGAAACAGTTGGCTGTCAGGTAGTACAAACTGTTTATATATCTATATAGATACATATACTTTTTAAACTTTTGGGTTTTGATGATGTTGTGATTTTTGGAGTTAAGGAAAAGCACCCACTAAAAAAATCATCATCCTTTGTGATTTGATTGTCCCTTAAGGGAGAAACTGCAGGCTTCAGCTTTGGGACTGGGGTGTGTGGAGGAATTAGGTGGTGCCTTT